TTTATAATTTAACTTGTGGTTATACTATTAAAAAGTTGTTGTAGTGGATTTTTGATTAATCTTTCCCATTTCTTGTTAAGCTTTGACTTGAAAATAAATGCAATTTTAATTACAGGTAAAGATGCCTCTATTTTCTTTCTTTACCATTTTTTGTTTATGCATTTCATGTGGTTGATATGTTTTTATAGTCGAAATATACTTTTATGAATTTTAATGTCCAAACCGACCAACCCGACCCGACCCGATCGAAACTTGATTGGGTTGGGTTGGAACACAAATGGATTGTGTTGATTTGATTTTTTATCAAACCGACCATATTGGGCTGGGTTTGAGTTATGTCAAAAACCGACTCAACCCAACACACGTCCACCCCTAATTAAGGGTACACAAAACGGTCAATCATAATTTAAGGTGCGTCTAAGTAGGCCGTTTCAAATTAATATTTCAAGAATTTTGTTAATATGCTAATTTTAAAAATTATTCGACTTTATTACGCTAATCGAATCTACCAATCGCATACGTCATCTCAAAGCTCGTTTCAAGAACTATGTTGTAGATATATCAAATGATCCAAAAGAATATTGAAAACAGTTAAATTGCGTCTTAAAAATGCATCTAACTCATCTTTTCTTAATTTTTTTTAACTTATTTTATTAACGTTTATTATTTTTACACGACAAATTTCTCGGTATAATTTACATCATTTTATTAGAAAATTTTACCTAGGGTATCATTTCAAAAAATTTCGGGTCATTATAGAATTGGACTACGAGTTTTGCTCATTTCAAGTTGCGGGGGTTACAAAATTTTCAGCACGAAAGTATTATGTTTTAGCGATTGTCCACTCTAATTATTGAAGAAGACACTTGATTAAAGGGTGTTCTAACCTAAGATTTTGATGGATTTTAAAAAATTGTAAAGCCTAATGAATTTCGTGGATATGAATAAATTTCCATAAATTCTATAAGAATCTCATTAAATGTGATAAAATTTCAAAAGATTTGGTTTTATGTGTTTTTAAGCTTGACATCCATCCAAATCTTTTAAAATTTCTCTATTAATAAAATATTTATAAATCCACTAGTTATCGAGAATACCTAAATTTTAAAGGATACCACGGAATTTCGTTAAAATCTCAATTGGGAATACCTAAATTTTAATGAATTTCATTAAAATTCAATAAAATCTCAATTGATGACACCTAAATTTAAAAGGATTTAAAAATGCATCACAATATCGATTGAGTACGTGCCAAAAATTTGATCAACTTTCTTGGATTGAATTTGGATTTGGATTCGAATTCAAATTCTGATTTTCTCTTTCAGCTGCATCAAAATCCGTCGAAGCTTTTCTACTACTTTTATGGGCAATTTACACATGTAGACTAATAAAATATAAAAATTTCAGAATTACTATTCCAAAATTAAAGAATATTCTGTAAAAATAGAACGAAATTACGGACATAATCTATTTAAAGCAATTGGCTTTCAAATAACAACTAATAAACAACCCCTAAAAACCAGCTGCATTTGAACTCCAATTAATTCAAAACAACTGCAACCGACAAACAGAAATTAAAATTTGATGATAGGATTGAAAATTCAAAATATAATTTACAGAGTTGGTTGGGAAATCATTTTTTCTTAATCTTAGGCCCTGTTTGATTAGGGGCGTTTTCCATAGAAAATTGAAAAAGTTTTTCATTTCTCCAAGATTTCCTTATTTGATGTACAAAAAGTGACTAATAAAACATTTTCCACACATTCATCCACGCGCCTGCTTTTCCTTATTTTCAAAGAATTTGTTTTCTTTTGGTTTTCGTGAAAATTGATTTTCCACCTTTTGCTTTTTTGCCCTTTTTTTGCAATTAGAAAAAATTCTAAACACAATGATAAAAAAATTTATCACTTTTATTGACAAATTTTATGCAAAACAAAGTCAAACGAGTGGTATTCAGTATGATAATTTTGTTTAATTTTTTTTAAAATTTTTGTTTTGTTTTTTTTTTGTTTTTTGTTTTTTGTTTTTTTTTTGCAATTGGAACAAATTATAGATTCAATTGTAGAAAAAATTATCGCTTTTATGGACAATTTCCATAAAAAAAAAAGTGAAATGGACACCAAACTTTCAACATTTTCTAGGTAAAAAATTATACCAATCAAACACAATTAATTATAATTCTCAGTAAAACAGTTATTAGGCAATTCAATTCCCTATAAAACATTTTATTTTCATCAATTTTCTACATTTGCAATCAAACGGACCCCTTAAGGTAATTAAATTATCCTTTTTTCTGTTTTCTTTTGTTTTGAAATTGTGTTTAATATGTTAGTCCCTTTTTTTTTTCCCTGCAATTCATATTACTAATTTCCGTGTTCTTAATTTTGAAAATTTTATCCCTTAATCTTGTGGATAGTAAATTATTGAAAAATCAAATTACAATCAAGTAGCATTTTGGGGGCACGTTGTTAACAATATACATTTATTTTTTAACTATATTTGTCCAAAATATATTTTAGAATGGTATTTTGTTGAAAGATATGTGTTTAAAAAATAATGATACGTTTTGAATTTGCATATAATATTATTTTATTTAAAATTGTCTGATTGAAAATAAGAAAGGGAAAATATATTTTAGAAATAATGGTACTATTACTAAACAAGGGCTGGCATTCAAACTTTTTGGTCCATTTGACTTTTCAATCTGAGATCGAATGTGAAATTTTTCTTCGGTATGTAATTATGTATGAGTTTTGCCATCATACACCTATGTCGTCGTGTTTTTAATATGTGTTTGGTAAAGATTAAAATCGGATTAAAATTGAAAAATTAGTCGTTATTGTTGACTTTTATTAGATGAGTGGGACCCAATAAAGGCTATATTTTTAATTTTAATTGGATTTTGAGCCGTACCAAACATGTCCTTAATATTTTTATATGACACCTATCATATTATGAATGATGCTTGTTTTGATAAGATATCAATTGAGATTGGGGAGGCAGTGACACGTTCCATACCAAATGGATGCATTTCAACCTAGTCATCAAACATAATTGCTCGATTGAAAATTTCAAAAGATTATCAACAATAAACCTAGGATCCATAGATGTAGGGGAAAAACAAAAGGAGGAAGAAGAAGAAGCCAATGGAAAGTAATAAATAAACAGCACCATTACAATAATTTTTTTATTTTTTATTTGTTAAAGATGAAACTAGAAATGTCACATATTCAATCGATTGTCATGTTGCACGCCATGTTTTGCTTAGTTACAAACCTTGCATGTTACACACGTCGAAATAAGTTAAAATTTTGAACCAATTCAAATATCGAAATAGGAAATTAAAATAAACACAAAATTGAAGTTCAAACTTAAACGTAACGTATTGTAATAAACAATTTATCCATATTAATGTGATATATTATAACACACAAGGGATATACTACACATACTACATGCTTAACGTGCACATTTGACGTAACATGCTAACATATAAAAATGCTCAAATCTCAAAATATTGTTCCATATCATGTCTACAAGCATGTACAAAACTAAAACAAATGTGTTACATATCATGTATACGAGTAAGCGGAGATAAAATTACATAATGTTATTCAAAAACACTTTGAATGTACGAATAAAAAAAGCCTGGACACGTAACAACATTGTGGCAACTTGATTGGTTCTAAGACTTCAAAAATGTATCAGATTACGAGTGAAATTATAAAAGAAATTAAATGGCTTCATATGTGAAAGCTTTTAAAACGAAGAGGATCATACATAATAAGCTTGTTTACAACAATTTAACATTTTCTACGGCGATATAAATTGGAACAAAATATATAAAATGAACGAACTATACACGAGGTATGAAAAGAAAAAAATATTTAACTGAGGTTTGTAGAGCTACCCTACTTTTTCCATCTCTAACGATTATGTATTCAACATTTTCAATTTTTGGGTTCAAGATCGTTACAAATGTGTTGTTCTCTGTTGAAAGACATATTTGAGATAGACCAAGTTGGACGAAGGGTTGGGTCTCCTTAATCATAATTTTTCTTGCTTGATACGAGTTAATTCAATAACATTTAGGCCCGATTACTACTTGTTCACCCAAAAATAAAAAGTAACTGACTGCTCACTCATTTTTATACAAAATTATCCATCCATTACCCATGTTGATTCCATCCATCTACTTGGACAGAAAAATTACGTGTGACATATGAAAATTCCATGTGGCTGTTGAAAATTGACACATGGACAAAAACCCTTTATTTTATACACTCCAGAGCAGTGCTGGAAGATGATATAGAAGAAGCAGCAACAGGTTGTTTTCTTCAAGCACCCGCACCCTGATTATGGTCTCTATACATAAACTTCCTGCAAACCTACTCCTCTCTTTCTCTGCCATTTGATTTTCACAACGAATATTAACAGAATTCATCACAGTTGCTGAGCTGCAGATTGAGAACAGTCACACAACTGGAGTTACCATTGTGTTGGTTAGTGCAGGTGGAGTTAGCTTGCAATTATGTATAATTCTGTGTTTTACATATGGATATGTTTTGTACAGCTAAGATTTAGTTAATCAGTTTCCATTATTCTTTGTATTTATAGCGAAACAATAATATGCTCCCAAAACTCTTGAATAATCCAATAAATCTTAAACTATTTTTTTTTTTAATATTTACAATTTTTACACTAATAAAAATACAACGTGTCAACTACTAGTATTCCTTAAAAATCCATACAAATTCTTGAACTCTTTCATAGGGGTAATATTTTCCCTACCAAAAAGCTTAGACTTACAATCCAATTCATCGGAGCCACGACCCGACCCGCTCCCACTCAACCTCCTTGCCACCCGACTGGCATTGTTACGGTGCAGCGCCGAAATAACCGTTTTTATGGCCCGACTAGGTGAGGTCCGGTTGGAAATCATAATCTCACCTATTTCTGCCGGACTCAAAGCCGCTCCTATTTGAAAAATCTCTTCAACCTGTGGGAACAATTTGTGATCCTTTAACCCCAAATGATTACTGGCCAAACTCTTAAAACCCGAAAAATCACACAAAGGGAAATAGATATGGACATCAACTCTTCCTGATCGGATAATAGTCGGGTCGAGATTTTCCTTACTGTTCATGGTGAATATCGCAACCCTTTCTTCACCGCAGCATGAAAGAACCCCATTCATGAAATTAGAAATCCCTGGAAAGCTCAAAGCCGGTGTTTTCGCGTTCAAGTAACGGTCCAGATCCTCGATCACGATCAGCGATTTGTTCGAAGTTTGTAGCATAAGGAATTTCAGATCTGAATCATTGGCCATTTTGTTTAAATTGAATTCGTATATATCGTAGTGAAGAAATTTGGCTATGGCGGCGATGAATGTTGATTTTCCGGTGCCGGAAGGTCCGTATAGTAAATAGCTTCTCTTCCATACACGGCCTAATCGGTGATAGTACTGCTTGGATTTTAGAAAATTTTCCAGATCTGCTTTGACTTTGTTCTTCAGTTCTGTATCCATTACAACTGTTTCCATTGTCGCCGGATGAGTAAACGGAATCGATCTCCACCGTTTGTCTCTCTGGAATTCGGTTGCTACGTTAACGAAAAGTCTCACCTCCTTTCTTTTCTGCTCAATTTCATCGAACACTGTGCGAATATGCTGCAAATAAGGAACTAGAATTCTTCGCTTGTCGTTCTTTCTGATCTTCAGAATCAGCGATTGTGAGCTAGTGTTTTCGTTCATCCAGTACAGACTGGCGCCGAGAAAATTGTCCAAAACAACCTGATTCGAATCGAGAACGATATTGATTTCAGTCGATTTGTTACCCGAGAAAAGACTGGTGAAATCGGAATCTTCCATGCCCGGTAACGAATTCAAGTAAATATATACTTTTCTGTACAGTTGATTTTCCTGCATTTCCTCGTCGAATTTCGGCACCTTGTAAAACTGATACACATGGCACTTCTCCTCCAAGAATCTCCACCATTTCTTCAAAACGTGGATAAAAGACGATTTTGACAAAAATCTGAAAACTATATACCCAACAATGATTGAGCACACTATGAGGGTCAGATTTGCAAGAAACATTATAACTATATCGAGCAATAGTTAACGAAAAAAAGGGATTGAAATTATTGTCGAATTAAGACTGATTCAACTTTTTTCAATGATAATGATCTGAAATTATAGATTGATGATTTTGGAAAAGCGGTGGAATCGGAGAGGGAATCATTAATTGAAAGAATTTTAATTTCTGGGAATTTTAGATAGAGAAATAGAATAGATAAAAATATATATAGAGAGAGAATGGTTGTGTATAAAGAATGGAGGGGAATGTTACGAGGGGAGAGTATTTAAATGTTTTGCAGACAATAGACGGCAATGGTGATTTTTTATTTATTGGTCAAATATTGGTATTGGAGAAAAAATTAAATAGCCTCGTGGCTGTTTTTGTATGACTCGAAATATTGGGTGAGTGATGAAGACAAAAAAATTCTAAAAATATGTTATTATGTTATAAATTCAAAAAAATAAAAATTATAACACTAGCAAGTCGAAAGGAAATTAAAGATTTTATTATTAAAAAATATTCATAAGAATGATACAATATAAACAATAAACATTGAAATAAGAGTGAAATTATTTCGAGAATTTTCTTTCGAAACGGTGGCCTCAATACCTGGTTTGAGAATGACTTTCGTGTCTTTTCGACTTTATATATGTTGATTAGGATGCCCATATGTTACATTAACCTATTAGTAGAGCCAATTATGCACTCGTTCAAACCGAGTCTAAGGCCATGTTTGAGCCACATTCATTTTTTCATTCTCATTCTTCTACTCACTCTCAACCACACATTTTTGAATAAAATAATATTTTTTATTACATCAATAACTTTTCCTTCTATTCAACCACATGTTCCCAATCACATCAACAATAAAAATACATTCTTTTTCAAAAAAATGTGCACCAAACGGGAGCTAAAACGCTATTGGATATGTTGGTAAAAAAATTAATTTTCTAATAAACTTCGTTGTTATATGCTTTGTTAGGTGTTCAATTTTAATTTTTTCTTCATTGAGGTCGAACCTAACGTTGTATTCGAGAGATATGTGTTCAATCCTTCTCGAAACCTCCAAAGAAATATCGAATTGGGTCCCAAATTGATGAATTAATAGTATAGCACATCTATGTGATTATACACTCTTCGAATATGAATTGAATTTTTTGAAAATTCCAACTTTCGCACTTTGGTGGGTCTTCAAAAATATTTCGATAACTTTGTGTTGTGATGAAAAGACGTCCATCTACTCAGATCCATTATACCTTTGAATTTGTAATTCAAATTGTTTGAACTACACATTATTATAGATTAACCATCATACAGTGGAAGGGTGGATAAAGCATAAGAATGTATCTAGATATA